TAAGACTACCATTACCACTGATTACCATAAAAAACCGATCATTACCCAAAACATGATCACAAAAACGAAGACGACCACCACCAACTAGCACCACCAAAAACAAGGCCACTTACTAATAACAAAAATAAACAAGATGCACAACACCACGAATGACAAACCCATGAAAGAAATGTTATAACCTAAAGTACTTCAATCACTTGAAGAACTTGTAGGTTAACATCCCCACAACAACGATAACGAAAAACCCAAGAAGACATTTGACTTTCTTGCACTTGTTGTTACCCACGACGATGTTAACATAGGATGCTTGTAGTGAACATAAATGGTTCTTCAGACCAGAAACCATGTTAGAGATATCAAGTTAACAAACCCTAAAATCGTCCACTTCATGGTTGAGGGCGTCCAAATCTCTAGGAAAGCACCGTCGTAGCTTGCGCATGTCTTTTCCAATCTCCTCCCTTACAAGGGACAACTCCAACTGTGTTTGGATCAAGTTGATCGCAATGTCTTCTTGGCTAACTATGTTGGAGCCATTCCCTGCCATGTGACGATCGTGGTTGGGTGAGCAGTTGTGAGTTGGAGAAGATTGTGAAATCATGGTTTGTCCGATTTGGGATTGAAGTTAAGGAAGCAATTAGGGTAAGCAACTTTCGAGTTGTGGCATTTTATGGCACAATATTCTACTTTTGTACGGAGGCAGGTGGAATAGTAGAAACTTGCCCTTTATGATTCACATTACAGACAACGTCGTTTGGGTGGTAGGATGTAATTAACTTTTTGTCATGTCAACGCTGATGTGTCAATCGAGGATGATGTGGCAAGGTAACTGGACATAATAAGTAAAAGGGACTAAATTGCTAGGTTTCCACCCACTTTGTTCCCTCATAAAGCCACAGAAAAAATTAAATGACTAAAAGGCCAACCCTAGAAAGTTCATATGACATAATGTTTATTATGTAGTTGGAGAATCTTCAAGCAATGTTGAACGATCCGGTGTGTTGTGCGAAACTTCAAGTTATATATATATATATATATATATATATATATATATATATATATATATATATATATATATATATATATATATATATATATAGCTAGGTTCAAATGTTTCAAACAACTATTGTGTGCTTCCAATGACCAACGAGATTTCATGAAATAATAAATAATTGAATAAGGGCATAATTGTATTCTTAATATCTCTAATTATGGTAAAAGAATAAGTCAATTAATATCTCCTAAAATAATCCAATAAGTTAAACCCTACAAAACCAGCATCCCTTTATCAATCACCGACCACAAGATAATCACATATCCCGTCTCAAAACCAGTGTTGCAAAACACGGCTTACTCGGTCGAGTACTCGGAATCGGCCCTCCACCGAGGTGAGTTATGTGAAATCGGCAAAAAACTCGGATTAAGTCAAAATCGGTCAAAAATCGGTCAAACTCGATCAAAACTCGGTCAACATCTATATAACTCGGGCCTACTCGGTATTATTCGGTCTTACTCAGACCTACTCGGTCAACAAAGTCAAACTTGACCAACTCGGTCAAAATTGGTCAAACTCGATCAAATGGTCAAAATTGTCATAAAAAGAGAAAAAAAATCAAGAATTTCAAGATTAATATGTATAACACACTTAATGATTTATTATTTAACACACACATGTGATTATTACTACATATATATATATATATATATATATATATATATATATATATATATATGTATTTGTGTGTGTGTGTGTATATGTATATATATATATATATATATATATATATATATATATATATATATATATATATATATACAATTGCGTGTATTTAAGCTTTTATGTATTCACATGTATCTAATTTTGTTATTTATTTCAATCAAATTATGATTTTAACTTATGATTTTGACATATATAATTTTCCTAAAACTATTTCTACATGAATTACCAAATCCGAGTACTCCCCGAGTACTCCCTAGTCGGTAGTCGACCGAGCAAGTACCGAGTATCGAGTTCTACAACCTTGCTCAAAATCCTACGCCCCTCTGTCGTAGGTCTGTTGAAATTACAGAGATTTGTGGTCAAAGTTTGGCGATTTTGAAACCCAAACCACCCCATATGATTTGAATTATTGTCTATGATTCAAATGATTCGGTTCAACCTCAAATCAAAGTAAGAAGTTTACCAGCAACCCTAATCACCGCCTGTCCTCCATCCCTCCTTCACTCTCGATTATACCAACGACAACGACAACACTAGTGGACTCAAATGTCAGGGTAATTATTTTCTTCGATTGAGAGAAACACCAATTCATGTGGCTGAGATTCTTACTTCTTCGTCTTCTTGAAGATATTTAGGTTTTTTAAATTTATTTGTGGCTAAGATTCTTGAGTCGTTTATGTGACAATTTCTTTCCTTCCCGTGTGTGTTGTTAAAAAGCTTGTAATTTATTTTAAAAAGATTTCATGTTTTTCATTGTTAAAAGTTGTTATCATTTGTTCATTGTAAAATGTTTATCTACAAAACCATTTAATGTCTATTTGTTTCTATTTTATCCTTCTTTGACTTCATATATTCCATCTCCAGTGCCTGTCAGATCTGCATGATATGATTCTGTCATGACCTCCATGCGTTCGATAAAACGGCTCAATGAAAAAATAGTTAATAATCTTTAATGATTTTACTTCGCTTTGTTCCTTATTCTTTTCAGAACTATATAACTTAATTTAGATTGGGTTGGATGCCCTTTTCATAACAACAGGTTGATGCTAGTTGATTTGGATTAAGTTTGGAATTGCATTCGGCTTCTTCAATCCAATTTCACGCTCTTTTATTGTTGGTATTAAATTAGATTAGATAGATTTTTCATTTCTTGTTCCTACATGATTCAATATTGTTTGATTGAGTTTTGGCAAAGTAGATTTTGCTTGCAATTTGTAATGGATTTTGCATATGTCTGTTGTTTACTATTTTACCGGAATAAGAAAATAGTGGTATGTATTCTATGTATTCTGTCAGAATGTATTCTATGTATTATTCCAGAATATATTCTATGTATTTTTTCAGGATATATTAAGTGATAGGAATTGCAAGTAACATGCTTTTAACAATTCTTGGTTTTTGTTTTATTTGTGATAAGAATGGCTGGAAGAATGGGTTGAAGAATTACATTCCTACGATAATACATCACATTTTCGTAAGAATAATTGGAAACAAGTCGATTATTTGGATCATTGAAGAAGATCAAGTGCATTTGTTCAATAATTGTATATTTAAGAATGCAATTTTATAAGAATTTTATTCAATTTTTATGACATTCTGTTAGAATATGTGTAATTATATTAAAATGTATAAGGATGTTATTCTGTAAAAATATGTATTAATTCGTATTTAAGTTCGGATGTCTAGGAATAAATATAAGAAGGTTGTTATTATTTAACGTGGGTTCAAAAAATGATTCATTAATAATATTCTAATAGAATACCATTCTGAAAGAGTCACAGAACATCATTCTAACAAAAAAATAATAGATAGAATAAAACCGGTTTATGCTTACAAATTATGTTTGAAATTGAATTAGTTTAAAAAAATCAGATTTTTTAAATCAAGAGCATTAATTATCCCCTAAATCTTGAATTTTCCTTTTTTATATTTGTCTTAATTGACTAAATTACGCTTATAATGAATTTAGATGGTATTTTTGTGTTATCTTTACTTATTAATATTTATTAATTTTTTACTTAAAATAACTAAAATGATTGGTCCGCAATCAACCATACATGCACACAATACTTATCAAAAACACAATAATATATATATATATATATATATATATATATATATATATATATATATATATATATATATATATATATATATATATATATATATATATATTATATATATATAACAGTTTTGCCACTTAATTCTAACATGTATTGGATATTTACAACAGTTTTGGTACTTCATTTTGATATGTCTTATCGTATCAATTTTTCCTGTAATTAATGGTTCATATTTTTTATGTTTCGTATTGGCTTTTCTGTTTCGTATTGATTTTTTTGTACCTGAAAATGGTTGGTTACAAAATATAGCTAGCGACATTTTAGCGGCAGTTTTTCACCGCTATTGCGTTTATGGATGATATCTTAAGTTTTTAGCCTAGATTTTTGTCACCGGTAATGATTGTATTTTTTGTAGTGATTAGGTAATTTGGACATGAACGAGTTGGTTTTTATAATAAAGTCCACAACTATTGCTAGTGAGGTGTTGTATTTTACTTTCAATCGGGGTTACAGGTAGAGCTAATTCAGTAAGGCCATTAAGTGGATTAGTTAAGTGTTGCTTCCACCCCGAAGCTTGCACTGCAGTTTTGCCCTCCTAGGTCCTTGCTAACCTTTATTTCTTTCTATTAAAATTGCATTATAAAGAAAATAATTTTGATCCTGAAAATGTAAAATCGTGAGAACTCTATCGGTTCCTTGTTGCACATATAATGCTCCATCGGTTCCCCTAAAAGAATATAGGGTTTGAACTTTCACTTTAGATTTTAGAACCTACTTTGGATAACAAGTACGGCCAACCAGATCATATATACGTATGAATTAGTTGAAGTCAACCTGAGACGTCGAATCATTAATCAGTTAAAAGGATGTTTTCCAACATAGGGATATTCTCTCAGAATACTATTCTAATGGATTCTTTGTAAGGATAACTTGTGAATTCGCAACAGATCCAAGAATGGCCCAAAGGAATATGATATCCGTTGTTTCTTGTTAACCAACACCACTAATCGTATGGTATGCCCATAAACATTATATCGAAATTTTGTATAACAACATAAGAGAACTGTTGTGAATGTATACATTGATAGAACAACTAGAAAGACAACATTATTACACAAATTTACATCGTTTAGACTCAGTTCTCCTCCATCGCCTCCACTTTATCATGATAATTAAATCTGAATAAACCTTAGCTAACACCAATACCTCGTACCTCATTTTTAATTTTTCAGTGCGCTCTGTTCGTATCCTTGTTGCTGGTGATCAAGGACGCCATTTGAATCCCACGAGTTTGAGGAAGCTGAATTTGCATCGAACTCATTAGACCACCAAGTCATCATGTCCTTGGATCCATCCATTTCCTTGAAATAGTCAAATTCATTTGCCTGTGCTTGATCTAGTTGTATCGAATTAGCTTCTTTGTTGCTCAAGAACTCATCGATTTCAGCTTGTAGTGCCCAATACTGCTGGAATTCCATGCCTGGCTGTTTGATACCATCTGATTCTGGTACTTGTGATGATGATTCGGGAACATTAATTCCATCGATGGAATTCTCCATTTGGTTCATCAACATATTATTTGGTAGGGAATACATGTTATTGTATGGTCGAAAAAGTTCAGCCTTTTGATGTGCATCAGGTAAAGCATATTGCATCATTAATGGGTTTGATGATTCACTTAGAAGTTGGAGACGATGCATCATCTTTTCTTGGATTGGGTTCAACTTGAAAGGCCACATCGCCAGATTAGGAGAGTGATTAGGGTTTTCAAGGTTTTGAAGTTGCATGTGAAGTTGGAGCCTTTCAATGGCAGAATTGCTTAAACTTTCCATTTCGTTCCCATCTTTGGAGTCTTGAGTTGAACCATCGAGCTTATTACCATGAGCCTGCTTGCGTCTTCCAAGCAATTTCTTCTTCAATCTTGTATTCCAATAGTTCTTGATGTCATTATCAGTTCTTCCAGGCAATTTGAGCAGCAATTATAGACCACCTATTTAATTGCAAAAGTGATTCATATACAATATTAGCTCATACATAAGAGCCAAGAACTAACAGAAGGAGGAATACATAAATCAATAAGAAATTTGAGCATGTTATAACGCAGGTTATATTCTTTGAACAAGAGCATCATGGTCAAGTGCAAAGGACAAACAAAGTTTGGTTGGAACAGGAAACCTGTCCGCAATTAACCGCTACACAAACGGGAGAGAGAGAGAGAGAGAGAGAGAGAGAGAGAGAGAGAGAGAGAGAGGGTAATACCTGCTGCCAATACTAATATAGAGGCTGCAGATGGTGTTGTCTTCTTCTTCAGAGAATCCTCCGTGCTTGATATTAGGTCGTAGGTAATTCAACCACCTGAGTCTGCAACTTTTTCCACACCTCTTTATGCCTGTATACGTACAATCGTTTAGGTTATAACGCAAAGTAGGTTATTGTCAGAAAAACTAACTAGCTAGAAAAGGAAAATAATTGTACGCAAAAGATGAAGATGCGTACCAATCTTTTGTGGAAGAGCGATCCAGTTGCCACCAGTACCATATTTTTCAATATAATCTTTGAGCTTAGCATCTTCTTCGGGAGCCCATGGCCCCTTCTTCACGTTTGCTTTGTCACAGCAAGGTGCTCTTCCCATCTTTGTTTAGTTCCTGTACCTTTGGGCTCGATCAAATCTTCTCTGTATTTCTCTCTCTTTGCGTCTCTGGGTTGTCTTTGGATAAATGTAAGCGATGACCTGAGATTTATAGTGGGAATGCCAATTAGGGTTGGATCTGGTTCCTTTTAAAGAAAAAAAAGTCTTCTGCTAGGGTTTTGGTGTGTTTAACAACTCGAGCATAAAATAAATACTTTAATTAACTATTTTTAAATTCTCAAAGTTCTATGATATATTCCTATTCTTGATAATAATTTAATAACTACTCCTTGTCAAACTACTTAGCTTTTTAAACCAAAATGTTTTAGTATTTTATTAATTTTCAAACAGTACTTTTATCACTTTAAATTATATTACATGTAATGACTTAAAGATATCAAACAATAGAGAATAAACAACGTAATTAGTACGTTACTAAATAGATTATATGAATAAATGTAATAAGTTCAAAACTGGAAAACTATTAATACATTGAAACATCGGATTGAAATTAATTAATACATTGGGGTTTTGTTTTTAAATGAAAATAATAATGATGCAACCAGACAAACAACTGCGCAATTATCTTCCTTATCTTTAGATATAAATATTCTAAAGCAGACTGGGGAAAATGGTTTCTTTTATGTTTAAAGGTAATGGTGCAAGTAAAATCAAGAAAGAAAACTCCATGATCTTTGTTTGTCGCCAACCTCCTGTGTATTCTACTTCATTATTATTGCGACAGTTGTATTTTTGATAAAAATTGAACAAATTAAAGTTGGGTTCATTTCTCACTTCTAATAAGTTAAAAATGATTTATCTTTTATCTTGAAATTGAAGATAGTCTCACTTGTATAAGAGGAAATGCAAAATAAGTGTTGCTTGTATAAGCGCAAATTGAAAATAGTGTAAATTGAAAATGATTTAATTATTTTGTTAGTCCATTTAGTCCATGAGACATGATAAACTTTTGGTTGGATTTTTTTTATAGTCAAGACACTCTAGCATAAGAAATTTTAGCTGACTTTCTTCCATCTCTGTTTCGGTGGTACTCATACAGGATATCTCCATAAAGAGTTTAGCGTAGAAAAGGAGTTAGACAAGGATACCCTTGTCATCGTATGTAAGCTTTAATCTAGCATTGTTAGAAGCGATGGAGAAAAATAGTTTTAAGGTGATTGGCTTTCTACAAGGCCAATATTTCTCGCTTTATTTTGGTGAAAATACATATCGCGCTACAAGAAAACCGGTTATGAGTGGCGACAAAAATTGTCGCTAAAGCTTATCATCTTGACTCATCTCGTTTCCTCTAAAATCACTTGGTGGTTTATTCGCCACAATCCATGTTAGAAGTTCAGTAGTACATGCCAGATCAATCATTGACTATTGATTGGAGATTCTCTAACTACATAATAAATCACAACATATAAACTTATAAGTTAAACAACATAAACCAAACTATAACAATTACAAAAATATAAGCAAACTAAAATTACCAACATAAACCAATTACCAATCACCAAACTAACAAACTAATAAACTATCAAATTATCAATTACTAAACTAACAAACTATTTAATTACATTCTAAGTTAAACTAACAACCAAACAAGATAAACCAAACTACCAAACTATCAGATTACCAATTTACAAAATACCAAAAAAACAACTACCAAAGTTTTTAACAAATAATCATCACAAACAAAAATTATCAAAATAACATGAAGATTATATATATATATATATATATATATATATATATATATATATATATATATATATATATATATATATATATATATATATATATATATATATATATATATATATAAGAGACTTTGAAGTTAAATAGTATTGTTTTACCTGAGATGGTTGTGATGGTCGTGCAGACGTAAGTTTTTCATCCAATGCCTCTAATATGGTCATGCTTAGAACCTAATACTTTCTCAAAACAAGCTCTTTCTCCAGTTTGTGTTAGATCTCTTTTTCCGGTTAACCCTTGAGTTTGTTCTAAGAGCTCGTGCACTAAATGATTATGTGTTTTCCAAAAACGATTAACAATTAAGTATAAATAAACACTTAATTATATGACAAAATTATAAGTAAATGCTTACATATTTCTCCCCTGCTACACAAGTAGAAAATACATCGTTCTTACCAGTGTGAGCAACATAGAATGCTTCATCTCTCTTCAGATTTTGTCTAACATTAAAAATTAAATTATATTTTAAATAAATAATTACATATATAGTATGTTAGCTTTTTATAGCAAACAATGATATATGAGCTCGACCCTCAATAGTTTGAGTACTTTTGAAGTTCATGGACTTTTTTTGTTTCTTTCTGAAGCCTTTTTGTGTTTGTCCGTTTGGAAATACTCAACTTTCTCCCAATTATCACTACCCATATCTATTTGGCGTCAGGTTTATGATCTCTAAAACGTTTTGTTAAATCTGCATAAAAAATCTCTAATATCATAGCTGTAACACCGTATATTTTCAAATAAAATTTTCATTTAAAATCGCATAACACATATCACAAAAATCTCATATATTTAATTTATAAAAACACAACTCCATAATTGCTGATTAATAATCCAGGATCCTCAAAACATAACTCTTTCTCTGGTATGTACAAGCTAGCCGATGCCCTCCCACGATCCTGAGAAAAACCTGAAACACATAACACATACACGGTAAGCACGAAGCTTAGTAAGTTCCCCAAAATACCACATTAAATACATTAGCCACTCTAGGCTATAACTCTGTAAGACCCTCCGGTCAATGTGTCTTAGTGCGACCCTCCAGTCCCACTATTCTGATGGACCCTCCGGTCCTAACTCTGTGGACCCTCCGGTCCTAACTCTGTAAGCTCTAAGTAATACACAGCATAAATCACAAATAAATAATGTAGGATATCACAATATACAGACAAACACATAAGATATCTCAGTCACACACAAATACCACTCATGGTAAGGTATAGTGAGAAGACTCACCTCGAGGCACGTAAGCAATTATCCATGTACTCGAATCTCGAACTAGCCACTGTCTAACACATAGGGTAAGTATTCTCTAATTAATACTCTATTCTCAACTCTAAGTAAACCAAAGGTTACTCTTTCTCTCTCTAACTCCGGAAGTGGGTAAAAGACCATTTTACCCTTCAATGGTCTCCATTACTCAGGTTTGACCAACTAGAAGTCAAACTCGAGTCAACAGTCCTTGTTTGACCCGACTTGTCGAGTGCACTCATGTAATTCGTCGAGTCCCCTCTTTTCCTCAGAAGTCTCAAGAAAGTCCAGCTCAGCTCGTCGAGTTGACCCCCAACTCGCCGCGTTATCGCATGAGCAAACTCATCGGGACAAACCCTAACTGACTCGTCGAGTCAGGCCATGGACTCGGCGAGTCCCTTCAGTCTGTTTTCTCATTCAGACGTTTTAAGGTAGATCTACTACCCTAAACTCTAGATCTAGCCTCCCAAGGCTTGACTGTCACGTAAAGCTTCGATCTTTACGTTCATGCATGGCATACTTGCTTCATAATGCCAATACAAGTTCTAACAAGGTTACATGCTCAAGGACTTGTCTCTAACTCAATAAAGTTCGGGCCTTTGGGCTCACAAAGCCTCCTACAACTCAGATCTGAGGTTTCAACCTCAATCATGCTGAAAGATCACAATGACACCAAAAAGAATTGGAGAAACCCTAGAAACTCCCTAAACCAAAATCTTCATAAGGAAATGACCAATTTAGCATCTTTTTACGTCCAACTGAAGCAAAACTCTGAAAAACCTCTAGATCCAAAGCCTCCTCTTGAACCAAGCTTTGATGCTCTCCACTTCTCCTTCAACAATGCACTAAAACCCACAAGATTTGCCTCTTTCTCACTCTCTAGCTCAAATGGACGATTAGGGTTTTTCTCAAGGAAGTAGGGTGACTGGTGAGGCGTAAATGGGGCTATAAGTTCCCTTATATAGGCCTCAATCCTGGGAAATTAGGGTTTCTCTGCCCAGCACCTACTCGGCAAGTCGGCTCTCTGACTCGTCGAGTCCATTCATTAATCCCACGTGGAAACTCGACTCTACTCGACGAGTTGGACTCACAACTTGCCGAGTCACTCTATAAATCTCAGATTAATCACACCATAATATACCTGAAAGTCCGGATGTTACAATTCTCCCCCACTTGAATTAGATTTCGCCCTCGAAATCGCTCCTCAACAACACATAGATCGAACCCAATAACCGAAAAGCACCACCGAAAGGATCTCATACCACACAACTATCTCCCTCCATGGACACCTAAATCCAAACCGGAACTCTCAAATCCAGAAGAGTACATACCCTTCTGCCGCTACGATACCCCTTCTGACTCTTCAGAATCTGGAAGCTCTAGTGACCTGTCTCACTGCCAGACCGCCTTCTCAAGATATCACCATGTTACCCGCTCCTCGAATAACAGACCTTGACAAATCACTGCCTCTCTGATTCTCTTGTTGCGATTGATAAAACAAGTCAACGCCCAAAAATTGACTACATCACTCGTACCAGACATGTTAAACAATTCAGATCATACTAGAAAGAATGAGAGGATCACATCACACCAGGGACCCATCCAATATATTGTAACATACACGTTTTGGAATCGTGTTTTAAGTAAATAATATTATGAAATATTATGTGACATTGAGTATTGAGTTCTAACAGATAGTTTTACTAGAAATGAAGTCAAAACTATGTTTAGAATCACTCGGAAAATATTGGAAGTCTTATGAGAATCCAATTAAAAGTTAAAATATCGAAATTTAACGAAAATATAAAATTTGAAATAAGTAAAATTTTATTATTGAAAGTTGTAGATAATCTCGTTAGAAACATTTAGGCGAAAACCTCATCGAAATCCGAGTTATAACGAAGAAGTTATGACCAATCGAAGATCCGCGACAAAACCGGCACGACGCCGAATGACGTAAAAAAGTGAGTTTTTGATAAACTACTTTTTAGCCTTAGTGATCTAAATGAAAGTCGTAGTATTCGTTAAACCGAGAATTTTGATAAAAAGAACGCCAAAATCTGACTTCGTATGAGAAGTTATGATTTTTCTAAGTTTCAGTTTAG